ATTTACTTTTTATTTATTAATATTATTATTTTTATTTTAGTTAATCTGAGGATATTTTCCCATTGATTTTTAGAAAGAGTGGGCCCTCGCCGGTTTGGCTCACTGGATAGAGCGTCGGCCTGGGGACTGAAGAGTTCCAGGTTCGATTCCGGTCAAGGGCGTGTACCTTGGTTGCGGGCACATCCCCAGTGGGGGGTGTGCAGGAGGCAGCTGGTGGATGCTTCTCTCTCATCGATGTTTCTAACTCTCTATCCCTCTCCCTTCCTCTCTGTAAAAAATCAATAAAAAATATATATTTTTAAAAAAGAATAAGTGAATCTCCTTTGAATAGCATAAAAGATCTTGAGAGAGAGAGAGAGAGAGAGAGAGAGAGAGAGAGAGAGACGCAGATGTGAAAAACATTGACCAGTTGCCTCCCATATGCTCCTCAACCAGGGATCGAACCCACAACCTAGGTAGGTGCCCCTGGCCAGGCATCAAACCGGCAACCTTTTTGGTGTGTGGGATAGTGCTCCAACCAACTGAATCACCTGGCTACAGCTCAACTTATTTTTAAACAGCTTGTGGAAGAGGCAGAAACACCAATGATGAGAATCATCGATCAGCTGCCTCCTGCACGCCCCCCACACTGGGGATGGAGCCCTGACCGGGAATCGAACTCTGATCTGGTTCACAGATGGACGCTCAGTCACTGAGCCACACCGGCCAGGCCTCTAGCTTCCTTTCTAGGTCGTCTGATCTCCCCAGTTCTGGGTGGACCCCCTTCTGTGTGACCCTGCCTCTGGGTCTCTGTCCATGCCTGCGTTTCCTCTTCTGCGTCTTTCTCGCTCTCACCGTCTCCCTGCCGACCTCTGAGAGGCCGTGTCTCCCGGCCCCGCCTCACCGTCGCTGGGTCCTCACGCTGCTGTCGCCCTGGCCCCGTGTCTGCGCCCCTTTCTCTCCGTCCGTGTCCCTTTCTGACCCACTGCCTGGCTCTCTCTCCCCCGGACTGCGTCTCTGGTTGCCAAGGCGATGCCTTGTAATTCTCTTGTTTACCAGGTTGCCATGGTATCCATAGTGACGCAGGCGCGCAGGGATTGGTGAGGCGCAAGAGGCTAGCTCACTCTCTCTCCCCGGGGCTGCGTCTCTGGTTGCCAAGGCGATGCCTTGTAATGCTCTTGTTTACCAAGGTTGCCATAGTATCCATAGTGACGGAGGCGCGCAGGGATTGGTGAGGCGCAAGAGGCTAGCTCCGCCGCTGGTTGGCTAGCTCCGGAGGAGGCGCGTTGCATTCTGGGAGTTGTAGTCCGCGCTGCGGAAGCCGCGTTCTACCGGCCGCGGTCCGGCAGCAAAGAGCCGCTCGGGGCTGAGGTGGGTCTTCCCGGCTGCCGTGGGGCACCCCGACCTGGCTCTCCTGAGCGGTTCGGTTCGGGGCGGTC